TTTCGAAAGAGAGACTACCATCACCTCAGAATTATGGGCGTGCCGCCTGTAAGCTGTGAGGGAGAGGGTAGCCCCATAATTTGGCCTATTTCAGAAACAAATGACAATACAAAAAATAACCTACAATAATAATTTGGATAAATGTCCGACATTTTAAAAGAGAGACTACCATCACCTCAGAAACTTGAGCGTGCCGCCTGTAAGCTCTGAGGGAGAGGGTAGCCCCATAATTTGGTCTATTTCAAAACAAATGACAGTACAAAGATGACCTAAAATAATAATTTGGATAATGACCGACATTTCAAAAGAGAGACTGCCATCACCTCAGAATCTTAGGCGCGCTGCCTGTAAGCTCTGAGGGAGAGGGTAGCCCCATATTTTGGCCTATTTCAAAACAAATGACAGTACAAAGATGACCTAAAATAATAATTTGGATAATGACCGACATTTCAAAAGAGAGACTACCTTCACCTCAGAAACTTGGGCGCTGCCTGTAAGCTCTGAGGGAGAGGGTAATCCCATAATTTGGCCTATTTCAAAACAAATGACAAAACAAAGATGACCTACAATAATAATTTGGATAAATGACCGACATTTTAAAAGAGAGACTACCATCACCTCAGAATCTTGGGCGCGCCGCCTGTAAGCTCTGAGGGAGAGGGTAGCCCCGTAATTTGGCCTATTTCAAAAACAAATGACGGTACAAAAACAACCTACAAAAATAATTTGTAGTATGACCAACATTTTAAAAGAAAGACTACCCTCACCTCTGAATCTTGGGCACACCGCCTGTAAGCTCTGAGGGAGAGGGTAGCCCTATAATTTGGCCTATGACACTACAAAAATCACCTACAAAAATTGTTTGGATTATGACCAACATTTCAAAAGAGAGACTACCTTCACCTCAGAATCTTGGGCGCGCCGCCTGTAAGCTCTGAGGGAGAGGGTAGCCGTATAATTTGGCCTATTAAGTAAAACACAAGTAACAATACAAAGGTAACCTGAAATAATAATTTTTGGATTATGATTGACATTTCAAGGAGGCTAAAATGACTGATATAGAAACCATACTGTATCTGTGACGTTGATTATACAGATCGCCCAATCGAAAACGATGTTGAAGTGGAAGCTAGAATATCTGGAGTAATCCAGCATCTTGGGCTCCTTCCAGCGAATAAGATTTTGGCGGGATTTCAACAGTGCTTGGCGGGCTTTTTGGAGAGTGATTTGTCACTGGAGGCACATCGTCTTAAGCCAGAAAAAAAAGACTTGAATCCTTCGCCGTTTGATCAAGAAGGTCGTCCATTGAATCAGATAATCGGTCTTGCTGTTCCTCAAGGAGATATGAAGTAGAGCTCGAGCTCTCGCATTCGTTTTCTTCGGCGACTATAAAATGTGCATTGTTGACGGCTTTTCTCAAATGTTCAAATAGAGAAGATTTGAAAATTTCTTTGGTCAGGGTCTTTTCCACGCCGAGTTCCTTCCAAACTGGAGAAAGATGTGCCAGCAGAGAGTGTATTCTTACTTGTGGCTCCACAGTAAAAACTTG